TTGCTTTGGCTGCGCCCTGTTAATTTATTAACTGCTGCTGCTGCTTGTGATTAGAAGGCTGATTGTGGTCCAACAGTGAGTCTCATACAAACACAGATCAAACAAACCACCTGCGAGTGCATCTCTGTAGGGTTGAGGTGTTGCTGTTTAATCAGTGTTGAATGGTGTGTTTAAGGCGTGTACCTCTTCATGGCTCTTCTTCAGGAAAGCCAGCTCTTCTCTCATAGACTCGATCTGGCTCTCCAGGTGCATGCGGCCCATGTGAGTGTCGTCCAGCATCTTGCGGAGTCGTCCCAGATCCTGCTCCACCCCTTGCCGCATGGCCTGCTCCGACTCAAACCTGCCCGGAGCGCTCATTTACATCAGAGACTACAGGGCGTGTGTCATATTTACAGCAAACTGCGCTGCAGCTCGGTGACTGCTTTGTATTTACACAATATTAAATATTTGTATAGCCTATTTTTGTGAGAAGTTTTCCTGATTTGAGAGTTTTTAACATTTCATCAGGGGATAAAAAAAACAAGTAACTCACTTGACTTTGAAATCGTCAGCAGCAAGCCTCGCATTGTCTATCTGCAGGAAATGTCTGGCATTGTCCATAGTCATATCCTGGATCTGAGGGGTTGATGTACAAACACGAACACTCATAGCATTGTCTTGCATTTAGGGTTCTCATTACAGCATTTCAACAAATAGTAGATTTTTTATTTTTGTTTACAATTGTCATTCAACTTTATGCTAATAACCAACAAAGGAAAATAGACTAAATCATGTAAAGTAATTAAATAATTTAATAAATGCAAAATAAATAAAACCTTTAATGCATATCATTATATTGTCTTTTAAATTGTTATATCTCTTTAAAACTATTTTCTAAATTCATTTAGATAGTCTTGACACATTACCAAAGTTTGGTTCCTATAAAAAAAAATTTTTTTTTATTTATTTTTTTTTTTTTTAAATGTATCTTCTAAGGATTACAGCACTCAGACCAGTTCGGATACCTAGTAAAAGTTGTGACTTTGTCTTTTTTTTTTTTTTTATAATAATATTTCTTCC